AGGACCAAGCGTTTTCCGAGTCACTACAGATCACTTTCTGTTTCCAGGGTATGATTCAAATTATCGATCAGTTTCAATATTCTGCTCGTTTTCATCTTTTCTGTGTGGTGAATGCGTTGAACAGAATAGATCAGCGAAAGCAATTTACCAGACGGTTTACACCGGGTTGCATCTTGCAACACCACAAAATTTCCCATAATCCCTTTGCTCATCTACCGAGATGAGAAGAACATGCATTAAACTTAACAACCAGATGGTGGCTTTCGTCGTGTACAGAGAAAATAAAGCGTGAACTGAAAATCTAGGAAGCACTGAACAGCTGTTTCACTCCGATTGAGTTTCACCAATATTGGGAATCCATCGACTTGGGATCTGACCCGGGATCTCATGGGTAGATCGTAAGCATACTACTACTCAGCAACCACCAAAATAACAGTTTAGCATAATTGTTTAACCGATGCAATTTAGATATCATAATGCAGAAATACATTAGATTGAACAAAAAGGGGACAGACTAGAGAGTAAAATTCTTTTCCACTTTGTTGTCATTGGAGTCACGACGTTCAACACTCTGACAGTGAGGTCAACCGATTTAAGTCACTATTAGAGTAGCTCAAAGGTTAAATAGAACGCTGACGCTGAGCGTTCATAGCCGCGTATCAAGCGCTATTAGAAATACTGTTATTTATTTGCTGAAGATTCTCTAGCTCCGCAACTATCTCCATTCTTATCATTTTGGACAGAAGAGCAGCAGCATATTTACACTTGTAAATTTTTAACGAATGTTTTGATAACTACTTTATGCATATAATGAATAATATTTTAAAGGATCAAAAACGCTGCCGGGTTCTTTTGCGTGCCATGGAAGCCCTTGCTAAATCTAAAAACACATCTATGAAAGCAATTTTTCGATTGTTTGGTCAATGACGCAAGAGATTGCTACTCGCATTACTGAGCGTCGAAAACAGAAGCTATGTTTTCCAACATTTTTTCCATACTCCGGTCCTACATTGTCGATTTTGAAACTTGTGCATGTTATATCAGCTGCAAATGGCAGTCTGTTGTCGTTTAATGTGTGTTAAATAGCTTTCGTCACTCCATCACCTCCCGTTTGTCGATTGCCGGTTGTAGTCTTAAATTTACAGCACTCTTGTTCTTGAATGCGGATTCGTTGGGTCCATTGTCCAATGATTGTTGGTGTGGTACTATCTGTCCAATATTCAGAAAATTAGGTGGCATATGCTTCGATTAACCAGATTGGTTAGACTTCCCATGGTCTGGGTGGCTTTCTGGAGGCTCAGGGCCGGAGTCATCGTAGTGCACTCCGATCTCGCCGCAAGATCCTTACACCTTCTTCTTGATTTCTCGGATTATTTCTGTTCGACATATAATACGAATGCAATTCAATAAACTGTTAAATGTACTCGTCCGATAGAGTTTTGTATGATAGGAAACATATATATATATATATACATATATATATATATATAGTACTGGCCGATTGTGATGCACTAAAACATTTTCTTTATGATTAAATTGAGTTTCATTATATTTATCACCTATAATAATACTTTAGGCTTTGACGATAATTTATATCCTGTCTACTTCGATCTACGTAGTTTCTAGTCTGCATGAGTGTTACGTAACTCTTAGTGTACACAAGCTTCACATCTTAATTGTTATCAATGTTAATTTGTTGTAAATAAAAACTGTTTCATCCTCATTAGTTCCCTCTTAACTCATCATGGTCTAGGTCAACCACTACTGACGAAATGGGAGTATACACTACATTCCGAACCATTCCATCTGCTGAATATAAACGAATCAGGAAAATCAATGCTACAAAGACTCACCAAGGCTTGTTTATTAAAATTTGGGAAGAAATTAACTCTAGTATAAATGCTGTTGCGTATACGAACCCACAAGTGTTTCATAGGGACCCCGTGCTTCAGTTTCGATCAGAACTATGTATATATATATACATATATATATATGTATATATATATTGAATTTCAGCATAAATTCTTCAGCCAATAATGATTAGCTTTGAGAAATCAAGAAGAAAGTGTAAGGATCTTGCGGCGAGATCGGAGTGCACTACGATGACTCCGGCCCTGAGCCTCCAGAAAGCCACCCAGACCATGGGAAGTCTAACCAATCTGGTTAATCGAAGCATATGCCACCTAATTTTCTGAATATTGGACAGATAGTACCACACCAACAATCATTGGACAATGGACCCAACGAATCCGCATTCAAGAACAAGAGTGCTGTAAATTTAAGACTACAACCGGCAATCGACAAACGGGAGGTGATGGAGTGACGAAAGCTATTTAACACACATTAAACGACAACAGACTGCCATTTGCAGCTGATATAACATGCACAAGTTTCAAAATCGACAATGTAGGACCGGAGTATGGAAAAAATGTTGGAAAACATAGCTTCTGTTTTCGACGCTCAGTAATGCGAGTAGCAATCTCTTGCGTCATTGACCAAACAATCGAAAAATTGCTTTCATAGATGTGTTTTTAGATTTAGCAAAATGCTAAACAGTTAACCTGATTTAAGAGAATGTTTTGGTTCTCGAATTGTATTTCACTGAATGTAAGAAAAACTCACCGATTTTCGAATTTCGGCTCACTACCGAACGTAGTTTTGGAAAATGATACACTTCGAAGCAGTTCACCTTCTAACGTTACCGTCGCAAATATCACACTTTGGGAGGAATTGTACAGAACAAGTTCACGAAGCAAGTGTGCACCTTCTGACTGATCGCGCTACTTCCAGTGTTCTGTCACGGGGTTTTAATTTGCCGATATTCGTCGATCCCAATCTGAATGTTGCTATGATTCGCGTGTGTAGTAGTAACTTGCGGAATTCGGATCCCGCGCAGTCCATCCCAGAATTAGAACTAGGAGAAAACAGTATTTTCATTAATGGAAAAGAAAAGTGTTTGAGGATATCGCTTTCAATCAAAGAGAAAAGGGAACATTGTCATTTTGTCATGCAATCACCACAGTTTTCAACCATTTATAATGAATGGGATCGATAATTCAGACGACAACCTTACAGCACAGTTTCTCATATTCCAAAAAGACTATCACGTCAAACAGAACGAGCAAATTACATGGTAAACAGCCGTAAGTCGCAATGTACGTGACATTAATTCCCCCTTTTATCTGGTTTTATTCAGTAATTTTCCACATCTAAACTGTTTACTAGACCAACGTGATATCTTTATTGCTCGTTTGTAACCCCGCTGCGATTTCTATTCCCCATGAACCTACATAACACGAACTTCTTCTCAAATCGAGGTGTCATGAATGAGAAACTGCCTCCTCATTTTAAAATAAAATAGTTTATCCACTCAGATTTGAATTAATTATTTTGGAGATTGATTGCTCGTCCGAAACAAATGTGAAACAAATGTACAGAACAACTTTCATCTGGCCAAAAGTAGAACGAAATGAACTTATCAGGACTGAAATGTGCATCAAACTCCTTCCTGGACGGATGGTGTTCATTCGTTTAAATAGGATACAAATACTTCACTAGAGATTCCTCTGCTCGATTTATTCACATTTCTCTTCAAATGATTGAGGTATTTTTGACGAGAGTAGGGTTAAGTTATTGAACCTAAACAGACAACGTATATGTATATGTGTATACAGGTCTAATCGAAACTAAAGCAACAGGTCCATGTGAAACACTTGACGGTTCGTATGGGCAACAGCCCAGAAACTACGTACATCGAAGTAGACAAGATATAAATTAGTGTCCATACCTAAAGCATTAATATGGGTGATAAATATAATGAAACTCCCTTTGATCATAAAGAAAATATTTGAGTGCATCACAATCGGCCAGTACTGTATACCGATATGTGTGTATTTGTGTCATATCTTATTCATCTTTCCTCCAGGATGCAAGAATGCATTTGTAATTCTTCTCACTGTCATATGTCTTTTCATTAATACTATCGGAATTTACTGTTAGAAAGAACGATCTTTTATTTTAAGATCTTTGTGTGATATAGCACGGATTTATAAACTCGACTTTGTCAATGCAAATTGCGGGTTGTGATTTCTGAAAATAGAATGAGAGTGATCAATCTTTGAATTCACACAGTCAAAAGATAAGGACTTGAATAAAATGAATGAACTGAGATCCGTTCAAATTTAATGACTTTCAAATGATACCAGACTGTGTGCACAACACAAAGTGTGAAGCTTCTCCTCAGACAATGGAAGACCATAAAGCTCACTGATAGTGCATACCGGTGAGAAGTTAGTCTCACAAACCAGGCAGAAAAATAACCAGTTGTTAGGTCACAGAGTTCAGGATTTCACATGAATTCAGAAGTCTGCAAGAGGTCTAACCTCGTGATGAACAAGTGCATTTTTCTATTAAACAATCCTTGAATGCTTCATCCGTTTTGTGACGTATAAGGGAAACAGACCACCTGTTTACCGTCTTCGACCGGATTAGTTTCAGTTATTCACTGGGTTTTCCTCCGAATGTTACTACACCCAACTATACAGTTCGGTTGAGATAAACAGAGAAGTGTACAGCATCTGGGGTCGGCATAGTCAAATTTAGCGTCCCCGAAACCAGTCAGTTAGGCGCTTGGACGAAGCAGGGAGAGACAGACTGACACAAACCAAACGGGCGACCAATCACACTGCGAGGACGCGAGCGGACGAGACAGACACACAAAACCAGTCGCATGGTTTGACGGTAAGCACGTTTTTGGTCAAACAAGCAACAGAGTGTGACTACGGGGAAATAGAACTGTACACGAACCGACAAATAGTATTCTCGGTCTCAGTAACTGTGTTCCGGGCAGCTTGATCGTCAGCTTGTTCCGGTCACCATGGGTGATTAATTCACGAATTCATTTATGTCAACTGGACTTTATCACGCGTAGAGTGAAAATCACAACACAACACATCATACAATCGGGATTATGATTTATTGATGCATCAACAGAAGAAAACATGCGATTTACGCATGCCCATTTCACGCTCATTCTCTGCGTGTGGCTTTCATTGCCCCACGTCCGTGTCGAGAGTGTTATCAGTGAGAACGTCACTTGGTATCCGATTGACGAGAACCGGACAATTTTTCGAAACAAACGTCAGTTAGGGTTGGAATTTGATTCATCCGCCTCCCGTTGTCGAATCGGAACTGTGGACTTACAATGTTTACCGCCGTTCAAAAATATTGTGCATGGGGTGAATGTGAGGGCCAGTGCAAACTGTGGTGTAGAAAGAACACAGCGTCTTTGTCGATCGGATGGTACTTGCCAACTGTGCGGACCGCATCCGAAGCGACAATTCGCCGCGGAATATCTGACCGATATACATGACCCACAAAATCAGACATGTTGGGCCTCAGGCTTCATCCGACCAGGTGGTCCGGAGCAAGCAGTTAATTTGACTCTATCGTTGGGAAAACGATTTGAGGTGTATTACATTTCCCTACAACCGTGCAGTGTCGGAAGTCTACCGGACTCTATTGCCATCTATAAATCGTCGGATTTCGGAAGAAATTGGCGACCGTGGCACTATTTTTCCACTGATTGTTATCGTGCATTTGGATTACCCACTACCGATGAGTATAACAGTCACATAACCTCAGCAAACTTACAAGAAGTATTGTGTGTCGCGTTGCAACCTCATGAAGGCTATCTAAACCGTCAAATGCGACGACGACGCTCGATGGGCATACATTTACAACACGGTACGCTACCGAAAGATCCTAAACAACTAATGCTTGATACGTCAAATGTCGCCCCCGATTGGGTGATTGCATTTAGTACAACCCTGGGACGTCCATCCCAACGTCCTTGGAGTCCAGCACTGATTGACTGGATGACTATGACAGATATCCGCATTAGTTTGATGCGCTTTCGTTCCAGCAATAGAGGTGGGGAATATGAGTCCAAAAGGAGGGAACTCAGAGCAGCGTCTGGTAACTTTGTTCACCACTCCCTCCCGTTCGGATTATCTGCCCCAGAAAATCAGTTTCGTCGTAGATCATATTTGGGTCGCGACTCGTACGCCGATAGCTACCCGCGTACACGTCATCAAATGCGAGACGTAACCTCAAGGGATTTGAGCGCATCTAATCCACTCAACAACCGGTTGTTTACAGTCAACGGGACCGTGCACCCCTCGGAAGAAGTGGTACCGGAAGTCTCCAAATTAGATTCCATGTTTCCCGGTGAACCCGACATCCTGTCGGATAACGAGTTCTACGCGTTTGCTGACCTCGCAATTGGAGGTCGATGCAAATGCAACGGCCATGCCAGTGATTGTTTCCTCGGCTCAGACGGTCGACTGCGATGCGCATGTGAGCACAACACGGAAGGAGACGATTGTGAACGTTGCAAATCCGGTTACATGGATAAACCGTGGGAAAGAGCTACCGCGCAAAAAGCAAACGCTTGTACAAGTGAGTATTGTATTTTCCGAATCGATACGTGCTACTCAGAATAACAGATCGAGTGAAAAAGGAAGAAGTATCACTCAATTTAAGATAATTCGGGCAATAGAAACTCGCTTCATGCACGAGTGAAACATCCTGCTGGTGGTAGACATTTTAACTTTTCTCGTAGCAGCAGCGGCCACTCAGCTTGGTCTACATAATCTTCCCCGGGCTTCCATGAGCACGTTCAGCAGCCTGCTTTATCAGTAGATTACCGTTCGAGTCTTTCATCAAATGGCGATCAAATATTAACAGTCTCATCCAGTAACCTTAGTGATCAAATCAGGTTGAAAAGTTTCAACGTAATTGACCTACTTGACCCTATTTTGGAGGGTTGGTTTTTTTAATTTTAGTATAAGTCCGGCTCATGAATAAACCCGTAGAGAATCATGATACAGTCCAACGAAACACATCAAGAATCACTCGATTTACATACTGGATGCGAAAAATTTGACAACACTACCTAGATTTGAGGATGATGAAAATTATCTATTATTGTGACATTCTGGTCGTTGGAATCTTTTGCATGAGTGAAGTGAAACATGAAAAATTAACCAACAGTTCCGGCAACATGTGGAGCTTGTTTATTGAAGCAGTAAATGCTGTTGATTGGTTTCTGAAGGAAAAATGTGCCAACATTAGATAGACAGGAGAGAAAAAAACCACGTTGATTTTTTGTTTTTCCAATGTTCTAATCTGTTTCCTACTGGACTGCTCAAATCAGAGCGGGAGGCAACTTACTTCCAGCCTTCGACAGAAGAGAGTGGACTAGTAAACAATGGGCTGGTATATGATTTTGGGGGGATCGGTCTCCTGTCGTTTGGATCAGTCACCATGTCCAAGTAGTCCAGTACACTCCATTTCTCAACAGACAAAATGCCTACTAATCCCGGTGGTAAATCCTATACATCAACCGACTCTATTACTGAAAGATTGTATGTTACACAAAATCAACTATAAATTTAGACGGTGACTGTTTAGATTAGCTCATTCGTTTTTCACAGGCACCAGGAACTGTTGATGATCTTGGGTGTCGGTTTCACTTCTTGGAAAATTGTTAATTCCCCATCAGTTAAATGCATTTTATTTTGATGGAGATATTTGTTATG